TTTAGTCCAATATTGTTGACCACTGGAGTGGATCGGGGTATTTACGAATGTTGGCGTATTGGTGAAAATATTTGTCAACGAATTTTGAAATTATCAATGATTCAGAACTGTATAAGTTTTGGTTGCTAATTGCATTAATTATCTGTAATTCGTACTTTTTGTTAACCAATTATTCGAAAGCAGCTGATTATTTAGTTTAACTCTAAATAAACCAATTATTCTTAATTTGAAATCAACTAAGCATAGTTGTAACATAAAAATTGAATAAAAGATGATTATCACCCTAGGAATATTTATATTTTTATTAATCTTTAGACAAGACTCGCCGAAATTTTTACTTATTCTTTCGATGAAACTAGATTCGTATCACAGGCGGATCTACGGGGGGAGAGGGGGGGGGGGCTATCGGGCTGAAGACTCCCGTCCCCAAAAAAATGGTAAAATATAACCAAGTTTTACAGAAAAAAAAGTATTAAAAATTATCTCTTAAAGTATTCTTGTTCCTGTCATTACATTTAATAGGACTTCAAGAACCACTTAAACACCATTTCATATAGGTAGTTAGTTTATTTATTTCTTTTTTTAAAATTAATTATCATTATATGTATATGAAAAAAAAAATTTCGGGCTGAAGCCCCCGCTCAAAATTAAATCCTGGATCCGCTAGAGATTCGTAATGATAAAAAATTATCTTTTTTTATTTTAAAGGATGTATAGGAAGTTGTATTCCCTGAAAGAGGGAATAGTTACATAATTGAAATATAAATATCTTAATTCTCAGTTCCTGAATTAATATTTCTGGATGAGGAGGTGGGAAGTAGTGTTGCGCAAATGCGATACCGAGAGGAGTCTTGGTCTAGCAAACTCAGTCTTGGCCTAGGTCTTGGTCTTGCGCAAGTCTCGAAACGGTCTTGCAGTTACCTATTAGCTTAGTACTATAGAGATATTATTGTATTTTTTTAGATAAGGGAAACCTAACTAAGCGCGAACGAAAAATTAAAAGAGTTAAATGCAAAATTATATTGGTTATACCAATTCTTTACATATAGCATCTAAAATTGTCAAGCATTAGTAACTACTTTGTCTTAATTTTTATTTAAAAAATCGATTATTTTTGTTTACCAGTCTTCGTCTTGGTCTTGCAACAGTGAGGCGGTCTTAGTCTTGGTCGTGCAAAGTGCAAGACCAAGACCAATTTTGGGCAACACTAGTGAGAAGTCGTTAAGAAAAATTCATATCTAAAAACTATTCTGCTATCCTGTAATCGTTTTTTATTTTTTATCTTCTAAACGTAAAAACGTTTCCAACTCTGATCATGTTACGAAGTGATTTATGTGGAAAATTTCTAATAGAAAGGCAAAAATGGCGGAACAGACTCACTCCAAGCAGCCTTTTGAAATGTTATGAAATTAAATGGTTCTAATAATGATAACACTTTTGTTTAAAAATTTCTTTGAATAGAAAATAAAAAAAACATCTTTTCTATTGAGAGTTAATAGCAAACAAAACGGTGGAATATAAACATAAATCTACAAGTCGTGGTACTAGTTCACTGAAGCGGATAATTTATGTCACGGTGACTTACGCGATATGGTAACTGCGAGCCATAATTCAAAAAAAGAGTTACAATAACAATAATTATTGTTTCTTTTGCGATGGGAGTCGGCGGATGATGTTGTTGTAAGATGGCTATTAAGTCCGTGATCGAATAATGCACTTTTTCATAACTCGTGGATCTCTGACTTTACCTCTGATTCTGAAATTGTCAATCTTTCAATGAAATACACTAAGGTGTATGAATAAAGTTAAGTAACAGTTTAGGATTCTTGAAATCCTATTAAATGTAATTACACGAACAATAATACTTTTACAGATAATTTTTTTCATAAGAAAAAATATTTAATATATCTTATTTATTTTTTAGCTTCAGGTCGAAAGTCACTCTCCCCCTCCCTCTCCCCCCTCTCACCATAGATCCGCTTGTGGTCATTTTCAAGAGAAGAAACCTTTAACAAACAAAACCTTTAGATTATTATAATAATTTTGAATTTTATTCTTTTGTCTATAGATTAAAGCATAAGGTAGAAGATCTTCCACATCATGATCTTTAAAGGACCACTTTATTTCTCTCGATGGTTCCTTAATGTAATTACAACCATTATATTTTCGTTGAATCGCCCTTTTGTCAACAATATTTTCATTTTCTATACCGTTACTTCTTTTCAAGTTTAATTCCCAAACTTCTCAATCATACTTTTAGGATACAAATTTTCGGAGAACATTTCACTAACTTTTTTCTTTTCTTTATTTAATCTGTTTCAACTAGTTATTTCGATTCCTTTTTTTTTTTTTTTTTATTATTTGTTTATCGATAAATATTACAATCTGTCTCAATTAAGGACACTTATAATAGAGTTCAGAGAGCACATTCACATCTTATTTACATAATCAAAAATAAATAAGGTAATTACAAAATAATATACAGCGAAATAAGAACAAAATAGAATATCATAATGAGGGATGAAAATAATAATAATAGTAATAATAAAATAAAAATAAATAAATAAAATAGAATTAAAATGTTCTTAAAAAAATAAAAATAAACATCTTAGACGCAGGCATACCTATATACACTATTTATAATCAGCCAGGGGAACTCCGAACCAGACTTGTTCCCCCACATGTGGAGGGAAAAGCGGGGCTTCAGGAGATCCCAGCGCTTCTTCCACATCCACTTCAGTGGTATTAAAAGCCAGCGGAGTCTGAGTAAGGGCGCTACAATCACAGACACTCATTTCTTGAGTGGAGAATATGGCCATTGCCAGAACTCCAAAATATACATGTAACAAAATGTCATGGGGCCACTGCCGTTTTAACCTACGAGGAGGATATTTCGATTACAGAAATTTTAGAAATGCAAATAAAAATTATGATGCTTAATGACAAAATAAAAAACGGGTTGAATTAATAATAGAGCTCTGAGTAAAATGTTATTATTTATAATATTAAGTTTTAGAACAAGTTTAGCAATATATTGGGATAAATTAATAATGTAATTTTTATTTAAAAGAAACATAGTTTGAAATAAATTAAAATGACATGTAAAGAGGTTTAAATAAACATAAATTTATGAGTGGAGGTTTTGATATTAGACTTTAAGTTATTGGGACAAGGGTAATATAGACCATATAAACTTAATTTAGTTTTAAAATAGATTTGTCTTGAAGAATAGTGTCAAAACTGAAGAATTAAAATAAATTCTAATAAATCCCATCAAATTAACTTAACACTTCGTTTTAAACCTATGACTTTCTGTCCTACAGTATCCTGTAGCAATACCCCATATATCCCTGTTTGACGTTTACGACTACTCTATCACTTACTAGACAAACGCACTAAGCTTTTAATTGTTTACAAAAGACTTATATACATGACTATATTAAAACCTATTGGGACTTACGGAGTTGAGCTATGGGTCTCCACTAAACCCTAAAATTCTTATCTTATCCAATCCTTACAGTCCAAAATTCTTCGTAAAATCCTCAATGCTCCTTACTTTGTTGCAAATGAAATCATCCATAACAGGGGTGACCAGAAGGCGCAAAAGTTTCATGGCGCAAAAGTGCGCCATCAAAAGTTTTGAGGGGGCATATTTTGAGAGATTTTTTTAAATTTTGAGGGGGACAAATTTCGACGGGGTTATGGATTTTCGGACAAAAGGGCAAGGGGAAAACATGGAACAGTCCGCAACAAGTGTAATTGTATATGATCAACGATTTTTATTATTCTATCTTAGCTTGCTTTGTTTTTAAGAGAAGGTGATTAATAAAATATCTTCGGATGAGGGGGAGGGGTAGGTTCTTTCGCCATTGACCTTGGGGGGGGGATGGGTACCTCTAGACCTCATTGTCCTTATGTTTCAGATCTGGCCCAATCCAGATACCCATCATTCCATAATTATGTTCAGAACTATCTTGTTTCTAATCTTGCTTCATCATCAATTCCTGATAACCCACCGATGCGTCTGAAATGAAGATGACCACGCGATCTGCAGTAGTGTTGCCCAAATGCGAGACCGAGACGAGTCTTGGTCTTGCAAACTCAGTCTTGGTCTTGCGCAAGAGTCTCGCAACAGTCTTGCGGTTACTTATTAGCTTATTACTATAGAGATATTACTGGATTTTTTTTAGATAGGAGGAACCTGACTAAGCCCGAATGAAACATTAGAGGAGTTAAATGCAAAAGTATATTAGTTATCCCAATTATTAACATATAGTAACTAAGATTGTCAAGTATTAGTAACTATTTTGCCTTAATTTTTACTAAAAAATCGATTTTTTTTATCAGTCCGGGTCTTGGTGTTAGGCGGCTTTGGTCTTGGTCTTGCAAAGTGCAATACCAAGACCGATTTTGGGCAACACTAATCTCCTGATGTAGACATATTGTTAGACTGCTATCAGTGGGTAGTTCCTCGCAAGTGTTTTAATTACATTAAATGTAATTGTACACATTTTATTATTAGATGTATTTTTTTTAATACAGTTGCAAATATCATGAATAAATAAAAAAAAAGTTTGTATAGAAAAAAAATAGGAAAATAAAAAAAGTAGGACTACTGTGATATAATAAGTGTTTTTATTATTGCTAATGGTGAAGTCCTAACCAACGGGATTTAAATATACATAAATTAATCAGTTTTATTGTACATGATTTAATTTTCAAAATTAAAAAATAAATCATATAATTATAGATATTTGGATTATGGAATCAAAGCAGAAAAAATGGGGTTCAATTGCAACAAAACTAGAACAAGTTATGGCGTCTGGATCAAAGTCGGACGAATCCGTTCTGATTTTATTCACGATACGGCGGTAACTGTTCCATCCTATTTTATTTTTGTTTTGTGTTGTTTTTTTTTCTTTTCCTCCGGTAATTTTAGAAATTGTGTTGAATAACGGAGGTTATAGAGTAGCTCATTAGATGGCAGAGCTAACCAGAGATTACGAGGACATGGAACCAGCGGGACCAATCACCGCCTCCTTTGCAGATAATTCTACGACACTCCGCTGACCACCGCAAGTCGCAACAGCAATTAGGCCAACTTTTTTTCGACGCCTGTTCTCAAAACTGTACACGCTTGAATAATTAGATACAGTTTGGTTATCATAGTAAGAAAATTGGCCATTCTTGTAATTGTTTGTTAGGCGCGGACGACAGATCAAAGGTTAAATCAGATAAAAGGGGTGTGAGGAGGAAGATCACCAAGTTTCTATAAACGTCAATTTTGTATATTTTTAAAAGAGATTGTCTGGGAAATGTCTTAATTAATAAAATAATTCATATAATAATTATTATATATGATTTAGAAATAAAAATTTAAATCGATCTTTGATATTTATTGATTCGATTAAAAATAATGATTACTCACTGAGTGATACGGTTTTACATAGATAATAATGATTAAATTGTGATCAAAGAAATTTTTATCAGAAAATAAAAACTACCTTTTACACACAAATTAAATATTACTAAAGGAAGGAGATGGTCCGGGGTGGAGGTCATAAATAGGCTAAATAGTGACAAAACTATTTTATTAAAAGCCAACGTTTCGACCCGATTTTGCAGGTCTTCTTCAGGGAGGTGTGTTCAGCTAGGAGTTTCAGTTAGAACCTCCCAGAAGACCTGCAAAGTCGGGTCGAAACGTTGGCTTTTAATAAAATAGTTTTACCACTATTTAGCCTATTTACGACCGCCACCCCGGACCATCTCCTTCCTTTATAGTGCAACGGTCAACTATTAAATATTACTATGTATTTATACGTTATTAATGTACACATTTTTAATATTATATTTATGAAATAGCTTTGGTTGTGCACGCGGTACCTGCACTATATATATATATATATATATATATATATATATATATATATATATATATATATATATATATATATATATATAATTTTTTGTAAGCCAAAATTTCTAATGAATTTCAGAAATAAAGATGTGACAACAATATTTTCCACCTACCTCTCCAGATTCAAAATATATCATAGTGATTACAAACAAATTATATTTCTGATTTAAAAAAATATTACTCAAGATTTATTGTTAATTGTCAAAATATTGTTCAAAAATATAGATCAGGATATGATTTTTATAGTTTATAGTCAAAAATAAAAATCATCAAATGATTTTTAAAAATTCCAAACAAAAATGAGATCAGATTAGATTTTTTTTTTAAATTTTAAAATGACTTGTTTCTTGAAAAATATTATAATCTGTCTCAAAGGACATTTCTAATAGTGTTTAGAAGTCACGTTCACACTCAATGCACAATAATTAAAATAAATTATACAGAAAAATAATATATATACAATAAATCAGAATATAATAACCTAAAAATAAATTAGAAAAAATAACACATACATAACACAAGTATATACACTATTATTTTTAAAATTATTTATTTTAAACCCTGGTTACGATGTACAGCATTTTGCCCAAGGCCATGCTAGTTTTGCTTGTGCCATGACAACTAAGACTTTTATCATGGATTAAGCATCATGAAATCTTCACTTACCACAGTACTTTGAATTTTTATTATTTTCTTAAAGAACTCCGTTTCGGTGTCGTCACTGTGCGTCTGCTCGACTCTTCAATTCTTTTCTTTCGGATAATATTTTTCCATTTATTAGAAATAGAAAAAACTTTTAACTCTTGAATAAAATAATCCATAATAATTTTCGGGGTTAGGGCGTAATCCTCTAGTTAAATTAAAACCCTGAACTCGTACAACGGAGCATGAAATACAAAAAAAAATCATCCACTGGAGTTTCCTAAACGTCGTACCGCATCCAGGATTTATTTTGTGGGAGGGGGAGAGCTTTATGTATATACGCTTGGTTCTATTTCAAATGCATATTTATTATATAAACATCCTTATATAATCTTCCGCCTCTTTGAAAGATTGAGAATGAGTTCTTAAATCCTTTTGCTGTATTTTCTTTAATTTGGAGGACTCCTTATCTTAAGGAGTAATCTATGATTTCTTAATGGACTGGACTTATGACTGTTGAACTGGGAAATGGAACTCGAGATTTCATATCTGAAACACAATAGTCTCAGAAATTTTTTTTGGAAAAATAGGAAAAAAGTAAGTTTTAATATAAATAAAACTTGGTAAAATAAAAATGAAAACATGATTTATAAGAAAGACTTCCATTGAACCTTTTTGTAGACATGTGGGTTTTCCTAAATTGAATAATCAATCTCATAAAATTGGGAGAAATTGAAAGGCCTTGAATATGATATCTGAAACACAATAGTCTCAGAAATATTTTTGAGAAAATAGTTTTAAATATAAATAAAACTATAAGTTAAACTTTGTATAATAAAAAAAAAAAAAACGTGATTTATACAAAAAACTTCCAATGGATGTTATGCTGTAGTGGTTTTTAACTGTGTATATTTTTTAATTTTATATTGCTACTAATGATAATGGAACTGTAGGGTGGAACGAGTCCGGCAACTGGGCAACTCATCGCAGGCGAAGGTTTGATTGTAAATTACGAAAGTGTATGCTATTCTGAGTAAAAAGAACCTTGTCTGCCATTTCAGAGCCGCTGCTTTAAAAAATGGTGGCTGATTTAAAGAATATTTGGCCAGTAATTTGAGGATCGAAACGGGAAATCCTTTGCAAAAAATGTGAGAAAAGTTTTCTATTTTTTTAACTTATATTTACGGGTTTATACATGTAAAAAAAATTGCTGACGCGGGCCACCAAGGGAAAACTTTTTACAGCCAAAAAAGTCAGATTTTTAAAATATTTTTTTGTATGTTCACCTATAACTCCTAAACGATGCATAAAACCGAATAACAAATTAAAGAACGTTAAACTGTGCGTCGAATGAGTGCATAAACTTAATAATTTGGTTACCTGGTAAGGTATAAAACCACGATCAACTAACGCTGAATTTTACCAAATTTGTCAAAAACTGAGACAAATTACTATTAATGGCCCTGTAACTTGGAAATGAGTTCCTTAAGAAATAAGGAACTTAAAATCAAAGTTGTAGAGCATCAAATTTTGTGTCCAGTAAGTACCAACTAATTTAATGTAGATCACTTAGTCCGAACAAAATTGGTAATCTCCCAATGGTTAGAAATTGGTAATGAAGGTAAACGTGATTTTCAATATTGCAACAGTATGGGTGTCTATTCAACATAGTTATTTTTGTTTAGAGTCTGTTACATGCAGTATAAGTCTGTTTTCTATTTCTCAGCAGAGAAGGATTTTGGTAAACGATGTGTCTTAAGATACCGAATTTCATAAAGAAATAACGAATCCCGATTCGAGATATATAATTGGCCTACAATAAGAATGTCAGTGCTCAGTGGACGCAAAATTTTATACTCTATAACTTTGATTCTATGAGTTTTTCTTCTTAGTTAACTCATTTCCAAGTTACAGGGCCATTTATTGTTATTTTTCACAGTTTTTGACAAATTTGGTAAAAATCAGCGTTAGTTGAACATGGTTTTATACCTTACCACGTAACCAAGTTTTAAAATTTATGTACTCGTTCGACACACAATTTAATTTATTAACGAGTACATTTTTCGATTTCATGCATCGTTTAGGAGTTATAGGTGAAAATATAAAAAAAAAAAATCTGACTTTTTTGGCTGTAAAAAGTTTTCCCTTGGTGGCCCGCGTTAGCAATTTATTTTTACATGTATAAACCCATATATATAATTTTAAAAAATACAAACTGTTCTCACATTTTTCGCAATGGATTTCGCGTTTCGATCTTCAAATTACTAGCCTTATATTCTTTAAATCAGCCGCCATTTTTTAAAGCAGCGGCTCTGGAATGGCAGATAGGGTTCCTTTTACTCAGAATAACATACACTTTCGTAATTTACAAAAACTTTCGCCTGCAATGAAATCGATTTTTGGGTCCTTTTTGCCAACCCCTAAAGACTAATTTCATTTGAAAGATGGATTTGAGAACATTTGAAAAAAAAAATATATATATTCTTGGACGATTTGATCAAAGATACTACAGTACAGTGAATTTTATACACTGATTTTAATGGTCGTATTTTTTTTTCTTTTTGCATATCCATCATTTGCCCGTTTACATTGGTTTAATTCATCCGAGAAATCCTACTATAATCATTTCTCAGATAGTTTGTTCAAGAAAATTAATCCAATTATTTATTTTTTTTAAATTTACATATTTCAAGTATTTTATTTGTTTCAAAAATCGGCAGGAAGTGGACACACTAGATATTTATTATTAAGTATCTATTTAAAGATAAATAATAAATTATAAAAGTACATCATCATGGACTTTTTGTTAATGAGGATAATTTTTAAAGATGCATTGAATCTAGGCCACGTTGAAGCGTTTATGGTCCATGATGTAATCTTCTTGCCCGCCCTATATTTTTTATCTAGGCAAAATTAATTATTTAAATGTCGACTATCTTGGCGACCTACCTTCGGGAGGAGCGTGTGACTAACTGTGGTTATTCCTATCGATGCCCTCCTCACCAGCTGATAGGCCTGGAGGAAATGATTACCACGCGGAAATGTAGGAGCTGATAAGGTGGGAATGGATTCTCTCTCTACGATGCCAGGGGCAACTCAACAAGTCGATAAGCATATCGTAAAACGTTACCATAAAGGGACAGTATCAATCGCAAGAATATAACATTCGTTTAAATTGGCTTTGTAACAGTAAGGAAATCAATTAATTTACATCAAGAACCTAACGTGAAACTTGAGTGTGTCCAATCTAAGAGAAATTACGAGACGCCCGTAAGCAAAGATGGATCTACAGTAGTGTTGCCCAAAATCGGTCTTGGTCTTGCACTTTGCAAGACCAAGACCAAGGCCACCTAACTGTTGCAAGACCAAGACCAGGACTGGTAAAAAATTTTTAAAATCAAAATTAAGGCAAAATAGTTACTAATACTCGGAAATCTTAGTTACTATATGTTAATAATTGGTATAAACAATATACTTTTGCATTTAACTCTTCTAATTTTTTATTCGGACTTAATTAGATTTCTCCTATCTAAAAAATCACTGTAATATCTCTATAGTAACAAGCTAATAAGTAACTGCAAGACTGTTGCGAGACTCTTGCTCAAGACCAAGACCATGACCAAGACTGAGTTTGCTAGACCAAGACTCGTCTAGGTCTTACATTTGGGCAACACTAATCTACAGGAGGAGGCTTTCTGGCAGAAGACCTCCCCCACCACCACCAAAAAAAAATGGTAAAATGTAACCGTGTTTTATGGAAAAAAAAATATTAAAAAATTATCTCTTAAAGTATTATTGTTCGTGTTATTACATTTATTTATTTATTTGTTTGTTTTTTATTGTTGCCTCTACCCTGTAGGGTCATTGGCAACACTTCCTATTTATATTCTATTGTAGAACTTTATTTTTTTTAAAAACTGTAAGGTTTTTTCCACGGCGTTTTCGTTGTCGCTGAGGTTTTCTTTTAGGCTCTGAGCCATATCGAGATTTTTCCTTACATTCTCAAATACTGGGCAGTCTTGAATGATGTGTTGGACAGTTCTTTGCACCTTACAGCTCTCGCAAGTCGGTGGGTCTAGTCCTCTTAGTAAGTAAGCATGTGAAAATTCACAATGCCCAATTCGTAAGCGGCAGAGGACTGTCTCTTCTTTTCTAGAGAGTTGCTAGTTTTTCATTTGGAACAGTGGCTTTTTATTTTTTCATTACATTTAATAGGACTTCAAGAATCATTTAAACACCATTTCATATAGATAGTTTGTATCTTTCTTTTTTTCCGTATATAGTTTATATCATATATAGTTTATATATGAAAAAAAAAACTAAAGTGTGTGGTTTAGACCACACTATAGCAGTGAAAACAGCATCAAGGCGAGATTAATAATATCAAATATAAATTATAGACTTGAAGAAAGTTAGTCGACTGTTCTACATATAATGGGTGATAAATATTCAGGACGCAGTCTTATTTAAAATTTTTTATTTTTGCCAACGTTTCAACCCAAACATGGGTCATCTTTAGGGCTGAAAATGTTTTTTAAAATTACAATCAGAGATATAATAGTATACGACCGCTAATTATAAATAATAAACTATAGTGATTGATGGTACATGAATCTTAACTAATATTGTAATACACATATTAAAATTAAATATGTAAATAGTTATAAAAACAAGAACTAAAAAAACATAATACATTTATACAAATTTGTAATATTCTCTCTTACTAACCGTGGTTTGAGCACTGAGGGTGTTCAAGTACTGGCACATTTTGTAGGTAAGTAAAAAGTTCAGGGGTAGAGGATTTCCCAGTTGTCCTTTTTCAGATAGCTGTTCTTTTTGTCGGGAAGCTGTATTATATTCTCTGTTTTCTTGGCAATGGTAACTTCCAAATATACAACAATCGATTTATTTGTTGAGTTTACATGTTTCCGATTTGGCCCAATCCAGATACCTATCCTTCCATAACAAACTGCAGAACCATCAGCCAAACCTTTCAAACCTTGCTTCCTCCTCGATCCCTGATAACCCTCCGAGGCGTCTGAAAAGAAGATGGCCTCGGGGCCTTCTAATATAGAACATTAATTTGAGTTCTACCAATGGATAGTTTCTCTTCATGTTGTACATTTGTATTTTTCATGTAATACAGTAGAAAATTTCATTAAAAAAAAAAAAAAAAGAGTTTACATGTTAACGTTTCGGGAAATTTACTGCCATCTTCAGAACTTACAATCCCATGTTTTCTTATCGATTCATTCGAATCATACCCAAAGGTCAATAGTATGCCCCATAGCAGTTACCCAATCATCGGTCTGAAGAATGCTGATGCTCTGGATATCATATACTGTAATTTATCTATAACATAAATTTTAAAACATGACAAAGGAGCACATCAGACTTAAGCCATGAATCGATAAGAAAACATAGGATTGTTGTAAAGATGTGATTAAATTTACCGAAACGTTTGATATTGGTTTTAAAGAAGCCAACGAGAAATTTAAGATCCAGCATAGCTCAACATAAAAAAAAAATAATAAAAAAGGCTCTATGTTTTAAAGCTCTAAATTGTATGTATTGTGGCTTTAGTGCCCTCTCTTAGTCTCCACTGGATCCCCATCCTAGTTATGCGGCTGAGAGAGAAGCACTGGGATCTCTTGGAGTCTTGCCTTATCATCCACACGTGGGGGAAAGGGCCCGACTCGGAGTAATAAATAATAAATAAATAATTTTATTTATTTATTTAATGCTGTCTCATGTTTGATTTATTCTGTTATTCCAAGTTTTCTTTTGTTATAACTTTCTATTGTTTATATTTTATTGTATATATGGTATGATTGTTTCATACATCCCAAATACTCAATGCCCTTAATTGAGGCAAAATGTATTTTATTTTCTCAAAAAAAAAAAAAATTGTATGTACCGCTCTCATGAGAAGCTATAATCCTTGCCGAATGTTTCTTAGATATTATGGTTTTAATGGTGTTCCTTAGGTTTAAAAAATTAAAGTCTTGCTATTTTTTTTTTTATTTTTTTTATTTGTTTATTTAGCCTCTACCCCTAAGGGTCATTGGCTTAATGTTTCCATTTTATATTCGTTGATAATAGTGAATATTCTTTAGATATTTGAACAATTTTTCTATTTCATTCTCTTCATCTTGCAGAATTGTTTTCATTTCCGTTCCCATTTGAAATTTTTTCCTTATATTGGTGTACCTTCTACATTCTAATAGTATATGTTTTACTGTTCTGGGTACTAGGCAATGTATGCAAGTTGGAGCTTCTAATCCTCGCAGGAGGTATCCATGGGAAAACTCACAGTGGCCAGTTCTTAGGCGACATAGTATCACTTCTTCTCGTCTAGACTTTCTGTTTGATGTGTTCCATTTGATACATGTTGTTTTTATTTCCTGAAGTTTTGCCGAACTCATTTCCCATTCAATGTTCCATTTATTTTGAAAGGAGCAGGCAAGTTGGTGTGTCCAATCTTCTCGAGGAATAGCATCAATTATTGTGGTTTGTGCAGTTCCTTGACGCCGGGCAGAGTTGGCAGCAGCATCGGCTCTCTCGTTACCCAGGATACCACAATGTGATGGGGCCCAGATAAGGACTATGTTTTTATTTTCTTCCTTTAGTTCACCATATATGTTAAAAATGTCTGTTATAACAGGATGCTGGTTCGTTGATTGTTCTATGGCTTCTATTGCGGACATTGAATCGGTTACGATAGCATGGTTTTTGAAGTGGTTGCTGCGGATGTGTAAGAGTGCTTCTTTTATGGCCGTGGCTTCTCCCGTAAAAATAGAACATTCTCCTGAAAGTTTGTACAGGAATTCTTCACTGTCTGTAACGACTGAAAATCCCACTTGGTTTTCGGCTTTTGATGCATCTGTGTACAATATTTTGTAATTGCAGTATTTATTTAATAATTCTAGAAAATAAGATTTTTTTTCATCCGAAACTAGAGTTTTTTTTGAGATGTGGGACATATATTTTTCTGTAGGAATATTCGGAGGATTCCACCTTGGAAAATTTTTATCTGGGAGCTTTTGGATGCAATTTAGGTTCATATTGAATGCTAACGTTGTTTGGATTATATTTCGCTTGAAACTGCTATTGATTGAAACTGTTTCTGGATCTAATATGATGTCTCTTAAGGGATTTCGTGGAAGTGACATTATTTTGGCCCCATATTTTGCAATCATAAATGCTCTTCTTGTCTCGAGGGATGGTTCGGCGCATTCTGCATATAGACTCTCAATTGGCGATGTTCTATAAGCTCCTGAGCATATCCTCAAGGCAGCATTATGGCATGGGTCAAGAATTTTTAAAATACTTCTTTTTGAGGTTCCATATACACATGCTCCATAATCTATTTTGCTTCGGATCATCGCTTTGTATACCTTTAATAGACTGCTTCTGTCAGCTCCCCAACTAGAATGCGAAAGACACTTTAGGAGGCCAAGTCTTTTTAAACATTCTTGTTTAAGACCTTTAATGTGGTCAGTCCACTTTAAGCTTTTATCTAGATGGATTCCTAGGTATTTTTGGTGATCTTCAAACAAGATGTCGGCCATCCCTAATTTTAGTTTAGGATTCGTAGAGCATCCTCTAATTCTGCATATATGCATGGCCTTTGTTTTATTTATCGAAAAATTAAAACCGCTATTTCGTGCCCATTTTTCTGCTTTTCTCAGTGCTTTCTGTAGTTTCCACTCAATAAAATAGAGAGATTTGCTGCGAACTAATAATAATACATCGTCGGCAAACATTATGATTTTAATAGGCCATTTGAAATTCGGTGGTAGATCATTCATAGCAATCAAAAACAGAGTTACACTTAGAGGTGAACCTTGGGGCGTGCCATTTTGAGAAACGTGGATTGACGACAAGGAGGACCCAACTCTGATTTGATATTTTCTTTCTTTAAGAAAGTTCTCAATGTATGCCTTCAATTTTCCCTGAACACCATAATTATCTAAGATTTGCATTACGCGGCCTCTTAACATGGTATCATAAGCCTTTTCCAGGTCCAAAAAGACAGCAACCAAATGTTCTTTTTGAGAGAATGCTTCGTCTGCTTCATGTTGCATTAACAAAAGTGCATCAGTTGTGGAATGTCCTTCTCTGAAACCAAAT